AAGGGAAAAATGGGGATTTACAAGGGCCACTCCTTTTTCAGCAAAAGGAAAATCCGGGGGGTCGCCCCTTTTCTTCATTTTAAAAACCCATTTTTTTCACCCAAAAAAACAGGGAAATTGTAAGCCCTTTACCCCTAAAAGCCTTTTTGATAAAGGACTGAAAATTTTCAGGGTCATTTTTTTTTCCTGGATAAGCGGACCTTGGGCAGGGGGGTTTTTTTCATTTACCTTGATTTTAAAATCTTGGTGAAGAAAATCAGATATTGGAAAAAACTGAGTTTTCAGGGAGAGTAGGAGGGAAAAAGGGGAAAAAATTTTTTTCTTTAATTTAAAAGGACTGACCATAAAAAAGAATAATATTGAAAATGGCCCCTTTTTAGCCCCTAGCTCGAGTAAAATTTTCACATTTAAGGGGAAAAAATCAGGGAAATTTCCTGGGACCCAAAGGGGGGGCAGGGGATCTTATTCCACACAAGGAGTGTTTAGTTACAATGGTTAACCCCTACCCTTTTCTCCAGCTTTAACATTTTCCCCCCAAAAAATGAACAAACCCTTTTAAAAATAAGGAAAAATTAATACAGCCACGGCCCAGTTACCAAAACTGAGGACCAAAATAAAAATTGTGGAGAGGGACAATTTAAAAAAAAAACCCCACTTTTACACCCTGGGAAAAGGACACTAGATCCCGAAGAAGTCTTCTCAAAAAAAAGGCAGTGTATCTGCTTTAAAAAAAGAATTTGAGAAAAATTTTGTAAATTAAAAGAAGCTCCTGTGTTTTTTCTTAAAAGGAGTAGGTGGGCGGTAAACACCCATAAGTGAAAACGGAACCTTTCCAAAGGGGAAGGGGTTTATAAAAACTCCATTATAGAATCAGACTTGGGCTTCCTCAAAATTGGGATTGTTATCAATAAAAAGACTGAGGTTCAGACCTTGAAGTGGGAAGACCCGTGGGTTTGGCCTTTATCCGTTGTTGGTTTTCCTCCTTTTTTGGGAAAGCAATCAGAAATTTAAAATGTTCCCGTTTCTTGCAATTTAAATTTCATGGGGAGGGCGAGAAAGGGACATGCCCCTTTTTGTGTATCAGATGACTTTTTGGGTTTTGGGGGTATTTTTTAAATGACTAGATTGGGGCCAGATAAAATTTTCCAGAATGAACTTGGAATTAAAATGTGAGGGGGTGGACTTCCCCCTTTTCTTAGAAATGAGACTTTGTGGGTTTTAAAAATAAAATCAGTTTGGGCGGGGCCAAACTTCTTCCCAAAGGTTTTTACCTGTTTTTTTTAAACTTTAAAAAGTTTAACTCAGGTGAATTTCAACGTTTTAAAATTTTTCAAAAACCAAAAATTTAGCGTCTGAGCTTTTTTATGATTTTTTTTTTTTTTTTAGACAAAACACCCCCCCGATTTAAAAAAATTGTTCTTTTTCCCCTTGGCCCAAAATTTGGTTTGACCCAAAATTTTTTTCTTAAATTTTTTTTTTGCCTGTATCCTCTTGGGGACTTAAAATTTATAACCTTTAAGAAATTTTAAATTCCCTTTTTCATTATCATAAAATTTGAGGGTTTGTTCAATTTGGTTTAAATTGTTTTTATAGATTTTACGAGCTTTTTCCAATTTTAAGGGCGCTCTGTAAAAAATTTAAAGTCCAGTTTCTCTCTTGGGGTTTTTTTAAATTTTTAGGGAACCTTTTTTAAAAAGGAAAAATACTTATCAAATTTTTTTTTTTGGAAAAGGTTTGGGAAAAAGCCCCAAAAATTTTTTTTTTCCAATTAAAAATTTTTAATTTATTCTATTTTTCAAAAATGATTTTGGGTCTCTTTGATTTCTAATTCTCTCATTTTTTAACGAAATTTCCCTCTTCTCCTTTTTTTTCTTTAATTTTTTCTCTTCTCCTTTTTTTTTCTTTAATTTTTTTCTCTTCCTTTCTTTTTCAAACCCGTCTTTCCCTTTTTTTTCTTCCCCCTTTTTTTTTCTTTTTAAAAGTCTTTCTTCCCTTTTTTTTTCTAACTGTCTAAATTTAAATTTTAAGTTTTAAGCTCTTTTATTTTTTTTCAGAAATTTTAGAGTGTTTTTTAACAATGTGAGGGAAAATGCCAAACTTGTCCAAAAATATCTTTTATCCACAAAAATAATGAATCAGAAGATTTTTAAATTTTTTTTTAGCATTTTAAGATTTAATTTCTTTTAAAAATTAAAATTTTTTTCAAGATTTAAGGGAAATCAGTTTTTTTACCAAAAACAAAACCTCCCGGGGAAAGGGTTTAGCCCACAAACCTTTTTTTTAAAACCCAAAAGACATGACTGCTTGCTGCTGGTTTTAAAATTAAATATGGGTGTTAAAAAAAATCAAAATTGAAAAGCCACACTTAAAAAGAACAAAAAATGGGTATAACTCAGATTAGTAAATACCCTTAAAAAAAAAAAATGTAAAATAAAGGGGAATAATTTTCCCAAAAATTTTAACCAAAAAAATTTTTCCCGGACGACCCCTTTTTGTTTCGAGCCAGGCGTTTAAAGAGAAAAAACCCCCCGCAACAAATTGTAAAAATAACAAATTTAACCAAAAAAATTTAAAAAAAGGAAAATTTAAAAAAAAAACAAATTTTTGTACAAAATTTCCTGAAGTCCAAATAAAAATGGGAAAAATTTAAAAAGTTTATCGATCCTGGAAAAGATCCTTTTTTAAAAAGCCCCAAATTTTAAAACCCAAATTAAAACCCCAAAAAACACTTTAGAATAAATTCCCACAAAAAATTTTTTTTAAAAAACCAACTCCAATAATTCACTTTATATCCAAGGAATATTTAAATCCAAATTTTGACTTAAAAGGTAATATACTTTTAATTTGATCACTTGATGACTTAAAAGGTAATTTCGAAAGAAAAATGTCTTCTATATATATTAAACAAGAAGTTTCTAGGGTTAAATCTTCCATTTACACAGTAACAAATCTAGCAACTTTTAATAATAAAGATCATTCCAGAAGTTTTTTATCTAATTATAATGCATGAGTTTTTACAAAAAGTTTAAAAAAAGTTTTTAGTTTCATACATGTGTATGAGTTTTCCCACAAAGTTAAGAAAATTTTGTACATTTCATGTAAATTAAAGTTCCCAAAAAAAAGAAAATGATTTAAAATTTTTAAATACCAACTGGTCAGATATTTAAAATTTTATTTCATGGTTTAAAATGTTGCATTTAAAAAACAAAATAGAAATTCTTTAAAAACCAAAATTTTTAAACCCCTTTAAAATTCAAAAAAACTCCCTTTAAAAACCCCAACAAAAAAAAAGCTGGTATACCCTAAGGGTTTTTTTTTGTTTATGTGCGAAAGTGGGCTTGGGGCGCGACCCTTTAAACTCTAATGTTCAAAATGGTCACAAGTGGTTCAAAAAGCGGGGTTTTGCCCAAAACAAAAAATAAATACAAAAAACAAATTTAAACTTTTTTGAAAAAAAATGGGGGTTTTTTTAAATATACAGGTTTATAAAAAAATAAATAGTAACCAAAAAAACAAAAGAAAAAAATTGTTGAAAAAAAGCTATAGGGCCCCCAAACATATATATGCTTTGTTTAAAAATTTTATTTTTTTTTTTTTTCTTTAAATTTCCCCCATTTAAAAAACCCCAATTTAACCGGGTGAACTTGTTTCTTTATTTAAAATTTAAAAACTGACCTTTTGATTGAATTCGTCTGTTTGTCATTTGTCGCAAAAAAAGTCATTCAAAAGGTTAATTTCAATTTGAATCAAAAACAGTGCAAATTAGTGCAGCATAAACTTGCAAAAAGTAAATATATATTTGTATTATTTATGCTATACAATATTGATACACTTACATTTGATTAACTTTTCTTTAAACCTATTAGTAGCAGAAAAAATAAACTGAGAAAATCCCTTTTATATAAGCTCCACATTTGAAAAAGCAGTGAGGAATTTCATTCATAAAATCTGATATTGTTTTGAGATGACGAAAGGCTAAAAATAGTTCACTCGGAAAGCTGATTTTACGCGACCTTCTCTGGCTGATCATATGTAATATCACAGCCACGTTCAAATGTTACAAAAGTTTTGTTTCACTTGCTGATAGTTTAACCCTTTATGGAGTTTCAGCCTATAAGAATAACTGAGCTGTGACAATCACCTGGACTGTTAATACAACGAAATGAGTAAAGAAATGTTAGCCAGATATACCATCCTAAAAACTTCTTTTCAAATTTCAAAGTATTGTAGCTATTATAAATGTTTACTGTCACTTTTTGTCTAATTCGCTGTTCACAAAACAATAAATTGATGTTCGGACATTCACAATGTTAAGGTCTTCTAGTTACTTGTAGCTTTCGATTTATGTACAGCAATACTGCTTTCCGTTTCTCATTCAATTATATTACATGCTGCGAATCACCTAAGGGGAATATGACTTTACATAATAGAAATCGAAAGGAGTTCTCGAATCCAAATTTATTTTTAGCTGTAAATCGAAAGGATTGATTGTTAAAAACCGGGCCCACGGACAAAAAAAATAGTAAACACAAAAAGCTCCGCACTTTATTTGCCTTGCCATAATAAGGGCCTTTGTTTCGTTAAATAAGTGTTACATCTCAGTTTCATCACATGGTTTCGGACATTGACGCGGCAAAGTGTACCTATTACCTGTTAAGAGGTTTGTCCCCTGCCATAGAATTTTAAAATCTGACATGGAAAAGGGCTCTGTTTTCCAGACTTTTTGATGTTAGCTTTTTTGATGAACTGACAACGGTATTTACTTTACCTACGTTTAGACAATCTATTTTCGATATTATTTTATGGAGGCATTTCAATTTATTTTATTTCTGGCAATTAATAACAAACTCATTAATTGTAACCAAAAACTTACAATCATTACATATTACATACGGTGCAAGGAGGCGGGAATGATGTTCTATTTTCCGTAATTAAATAATTCCAATACTCCGAGAAAGGTGAACTGTACTGACGACAGACTGTTACTCAAGAGCATTGTTTTACTTAATATGATGGTTGTGCAAAATTAACTTACCCTTCTTGTGATTTTGATATTTTCTCTCCTCTGTTTGTACTTGTGAATCAGTTTCATTACTTGTCACTGCTATAAAATAAAAATGAAATAAAGATACAATAATATGTTGAAATAAGTAAATATCATCATCACTAAATGTGACAAATGCCCTCGCAAACACCTGTTATTCCTAAAATAAGACCGACCATTAGCGGATACCAAACCTGACTATAACATCAATGCAAAGACATTGATAAGGCCTTTAATTTGAGCTAATATCATATTTTAATTTCTCGATAAGAGAGTTTGACCCTGGATAAAATTTTATCTATGCGTCAATTTATAACAAAGTGGTAGCAAAATTCATAAAGATAAAAAGACATTAAGACCTAACTCAGTTGGTATTTGGATACGTTTTTACATGTCATTGCGTCTAAATATCAATAATTACGTATGTGCAATATATTAATAATATAATTTTACAGAATTCAATAAAATGTTTCGTTGAGAGTCAGCCTTAGCCCAGATTTCCAGAAGTTATATGCGGAATTTCATAATTGTGTATATTTTGTGAAAAGAGTATTCGACCATACGGAATTCAGAAACCATTCCGCGTTTTATTTTCGAGTTTTGGAAGCGGAATACTGCATGCGGAAATCAAATCTACTCATGAAAACAAAAATTTGGCGAAATATTTGAAATTTTAATTATTTGCCGCCTTACTTAGATTAATACACATTGACTACAAACTTAGGCAAATTTTAGCAAAACTCAATGATTTGGCCGAACCTGTAACGGTCATTTTAAGATAATTGTTAGACCGGAACTGCTTAACACGACAATAACATTTTTTTTCAAATTCAATGTATTTAGAACTCTATCAATCTATCCACTCATTAAGTACAAAATTATGACATATTTGAGGAAAATTCAACACAATGTTTTTATCATTAAGGTCAATGTCAAATTAAGGTCAATATCACATCAAGGTATTTGTGCCTGGTGTATCATTAAAAGGATTGTTATGTCAAAGTATGAATGCAATACAAACATAAGTAACAAATGAAAGCCAAGTAGAACAAATTTTAACAAATCTAAGGACTCAAAATGTCCATTTCATTGATTGGTCGATTCATATTCCTTTCAATATGCACAAGAAGAAATCATGAACAGTTGCATTGAAATTTGGTCAGCGGTTTCAGAAAAGAAGCACACACAGATTGCCAAACATCCAGACGGCCTCACAGTCAGCGTCAAGCTATTAAACACCTCTTACAACTTTTGTTATTCGGGGTGTGTAAATAAAATAACATTATTTAAATTAATTTTAAAGGGTGAAACCCTTCATTTATGTACATGAATATCAAATAACAAAGTTTTACATTAATAATAAATGAATAAGGATTTTCAGTTGGAAAGGGTTAAATGATTGTTTATTACTGTCAAACGTGGACAGTTCATTTAAAGACATTTTATGACCATGTTTAAGACAGAAGGCTTAAAGAAACTGATCCGTATTGTTGTAATTATCCAATAGTTATTTATAACTCGTATAATCCTTGAGATTGATTGATGTATAGAGGACATTTCTTTGTTTGCATGTGAGATTGAAATATATTTCACTGAGTGAACACTAAATCTTATATTTTTAAGAGTGGCGTAGCAAGAGTGAAAACTTAAAAGCTGGTGTTCAAAAATGAAATATATTTTATTCTTATATGAAAAAACAAATATGTTTTCTTTTTATTTCATGCTTTTTGAGTAATTTTAAGTACTTTTTTACTGATTTTGCCTCGTAGCGTCGCGCGTTCTCCTTTATGACGTCATTACATCACATATGACGTCACATCATCCAGTTTGAAATATATTTCTGTTAAATTTCTCTAATTTTGTTACGTTTTTAACATGATGTATGATGACATTCTTTTCCTAAAGATGCAAAATTTACGTATGACGGCATTTATTTTTGCCCGTTATTCCATTTAGTTATATTATTCTTTTCACCGCATTCAGATATGTCCGGCTACAGTGAAATTATATTTTTATAAATTTCACTAGTGGTTTATCAAGAAAATAATCATCTGATATATTACATTAAAACACTGGAAAGCATGAAATAAGAATGTATCTTTTGACAAACTACTCACAAATGGTATGAATTTAAGGTTTCATTAATAGATTCTGGGGCACATTTTCAGATTTTCTTGAAATTTTGATCACTGACTCATTTTAAATATTTACGGTGAGATATCATAAGAATTATATTAACAAAGTTGGAGGAATTGATTAAAAAAATTATGACATTTCAAATATTTACCAAGTCTTCGAAATAGACAATTTTGGTTTTAAAACTGTAAGATTGGTGATATTTCTGGCAATTGTGTGTGTGTGTGGGTGGGGGGATTACTTAAAATGTCACACCGACAAGCGGAGATTTGTCAAAACATTCTTAACAATAAACGAGTTGATAGTTATCACGGATTTTAATTGACAGGAACCTTAGAAAAATATTTATTAAAAGAATGTCGTTTAATAATTATTGCTTTTGACAAGAAAACTTGTAATTCATAAAAGTTTCATTGCATTTGGTTTTTATCCTGTATATTCTTTTCTCCGCCTTTCAAAAGATATCTCAAAACGTCAATTTCATTAGACGATTAAACATTTAAGAATAAAAAATAACAAACCTGCCCCTTGCCGTCTTTTGATCTCATCAAGGTCTTTCTTCACTTCAGTTACATTTTCCTTTAAGTTGTCAACGTCTCTCTTCACTGCAGCATCATTTTCTTTTCCATCTTTAATGTCTTTCTTCACTTCAGTTACATTTTCCTTTATGTCTTTAAGGTCTTTCTTCACTGCAGTATCATTTTCTTTTACGCCATCAAGGTCTTTCTTCACATCAGCTACATTGTCCTTTATGACTTCAAGGTCTCTCTTCACTGCAGAATTATTTTGTTTTACGTCTTTAAGGTCTTTCTTCACTTCAGTTACATTTTCTTCAACGTCATCAAGGTCTTTCTTTACATTAGTTACAATTTCCTTTATGTCTTCAAGGTCTCGCTTCACTGCAGTATCATTTTCTTTTATGTCATCAAGTTCTTTTTTCACGTCAGCTACATTTTCATTTATTTCTTCAAGGTCACTCTTTACCGCAGTATCATTTTCTTTTACGTCTTCAAGGTCTTTCTTCATATCAGTTACTTTTTCCTTTACTTCTTCAAGGTCTTTCTTCACCGCAGAATCATTTGCTTTTACGTCTTCAAGGTCTTTCTTCACGTCAGTTACATTTTCTTTTACATCTTCAACGTCTTTCTTCACGTAAGTTACATTTTCTTTTACATCTTCAACGTCTTTCTTCACGTCAGTTACATCTTCTTTCATGTCTGTCATTTCCTGTTTCAGTCGGTCAACATCGGCTTCATAGTCCTTCCACTTTTTAATTTCTTCCTGTATCCTTCTCTCTTCTTCCAGATCAAGAGGGATAGTTTTGAATGTGGCAATTGTTTGCTGAATATTCACAGCTGGAGAACTAAGACGAACAAGTATCTAAAACCGGAATTTAGTAACAACTTTAGCATTTAAATTTCGGTGTTTGATGATCTTTATAAGCGTTTATCGAAAATGATGACCCGACAAATTATCTGTATATAGAAATATTAGACATAAAAAAATAAACAAGAGAGCCATCATGGCCCTAACATCGCTCTCCATATTATAAAAGATCTCGATGGCAAGTAATAATTAACACTGTTTACTATGAATGAAAGTCAGATATTAAATCTAAATCTTATACTGATATCAAACAGGTCATATCTGCATCAGACCGGCAAATGCAAACAAGTTTACAGGTTGTTATTGCTAAGAAAAATATCAGTCATTTAAGAATTCACTGGTGGCTATACAAAACCATTTAAGTCTTTGGAAGTTCGTGGTTTCTATGGAAGTCAATTGATGATTCCTTGATTAAAAGTCATTAGTTTTTATGGAAAGTTAAGATTTAGCTATTGAAAACAATGAATGCGTTGGGAGTTAATGGCGTCTTTGGAAGTGACAGGTTGATAAAAAAATCATTTGTTCTTGAATATCACTGGTTGCAATGGAATAACAATGATTGAAGAACGAGAAGGCCATGATGGCCCTGAAATCGCTCACCTGTTTATAGGCCCTGGGGCGGGACCAATTTTTACCCAGGGGCTTTTATTTGTACAAACTTGGTAGACACTCACTAGAAGATAATTCATGCTTAATATCTAAATTCTAGCTCTTTGGGTTTTTAACAGAAGATTTTTTAAGTTTTTACTATATACATATAAGGAAAATCAATGATCCCCGGGCCAATTTTGACCCAAGAGCTTTTATTTGAACAAACTTTGTAGACATCCACTAGAAGATGTTTCGTGCTTATAGCTAAGCTTAGGTATTTGGTTTTTTAAAAGATTTTTTTAAGTTTTTACTATATACAAATAAGGAAAATCAATGACCCCCGGGGCATGGCCAATTTTGACCCCAGGTTACTTCGTAAATACTGACTTGATGATGTTACATACTTAATAGCTAAGCGTTTGCTCTTTGGGTTTTTTAAAAGACGATTTTTTAAGATTATATACATAAAAAAAAAAACAATGACCCCCTGGGGCGGGGCCAATTTTGACCGAAGGACTTTTATTTGAACAAACTCCGTAAACATCCTCTAGAAGATGTTTCAAGCTTAATAGCTAAGCTCTAGCTATTTGGGTTTTTTAAAAGAAGATATTTTTAGTTTTTACTATAATTATGCATATAGGGAAAACCAATGACCCCCTGGGCGGGGCCAATTTTTTAAAAGAAGAGATTTTAAGTTTTTTCTTTCGGTTGCCATGGCAACCAGAGTTCTGCTTGAAATTAAATTCTTTGAACAGTTTTGATTACCAAAGGAACATTCCTGTGAAGTTTGGATGAAATTGGCTCAGTGGTTTATAAGGAGATGTCGTTTAAAATAAAAGTTTACAGACGGACGGACGCCGGACGAAAAGCGATCACAAAAGCCCACCATGTCACTTTGTGACAGGTGAGCTAAAAACACTTGTTGCTAAGAAACACAAGTTTTGCTTAGAAAAAAGGCGGCTAATGGAATTAGCTTGTTGCTAAAAAATGTAAATGGTTGTTTTTGAAGTCACTGATTACTCTGGAAAGTCAACGGTTTCTATGAAAGCCACTGATTGCTATGGAAAGTCAATGGTGCCTAAGGAAGTCACAAATTATTTTAGAAAGTAAATTTCTGCTAAAGAAATAAAAAGGTTTGCTATGGAAGTCACTAGTTGCTATGGAATACAACGGTTTCTAGTCAAGGCACCAATGACTGTAAAGTGACGATTGTGATCCACTGGTTGCTATTAAATTCAAGACAAAGTAAGGAAAATCCACGAGCCCAACGCGTGGCAATAACGCGTCAGGGCTATAACTTTGTGGGCATCTTCTAAACTTTATTTCCTGTAAAATATCTAAGCTGCCTATGGACGCACTCAGGGTACTTGAAACCTAAAAATTGTGAAGCACTGAATATATTTGTAAATCAACTAGAAACTGAAAAATCATGATACATTGAAGACCTCGAAAAGCACTGGAAGTACCGAAAACCTGAAATATTGAACCACTGAAATTAATAGAAAACCTGAAAATTTGGAAGCACTGTAATTACTAGAAAGTTCGAAATTTGGCAGCATTGAAAGTACTTAAATCCTTGAAATATTGAAGAAATCAAAGTATTACAAAACCTGAAAACTGTGACGCACTGGATATATTGGAAAACCTAAAATCGTGAATTTTTTTAAAATGCATGTACTTGAATCCTGCAAATTGTACTGGAAACCTGAAAATTGTAAAACACTATAAAGCACTGAAATTTACCGAAACTTGAAAATTGTGACAGAGTGGAATTACTGATACTTGAAATATCTGATTCACGGAAATAGCTAGTACTTGAAATTTGTGAAGGACTAGAATTACTGATACTTGTAAATTATAACGCACTGTGATTACTGGAAATCGGAAAATTATGAAATACTGATAGTACTTGACACAATCTTTCGCAGAGATAACTCAAAATCAGATTTGAATATTTCCAAAATTTAGTGTTACAAAAAATATTTTTCAATTAAAGAAACTCCACTTCATAAGTTATTATTTGTTCTGGAAGCAACAGAGACCTAAATCAAATGGAACAATAATCTGAAAAATTATCTCCAGTCCCATCATGTCTGGAAACCTCAGCGAGCAGTGCTGTAACTTATTTCAATACTCTCAAATGTCTCAAAGGGAAACTGGCTTGTTTGAAATCGACGCATTGCAAAACATTTTTATAAATGGATTATATTATTGAATATCAATTTAATCCAATGAAATGTTATCAGAGAAGATATACACTACCGTATATAATACTCTTTCTTCATTTAAAATAAATTGAAAGGTTACAAAGATGATGATGATAATAATACTTTGAAAGCGAAATGTGCTTACCTGTTCAATATCATTCCACCAAGCTGTAAAATCATTTTGTTGTATTGCAGTCGTTTTTGATATATGACTAATCTGAAAGAAAAAGGTCAATATGATTTACCTGAAATAAGAGCCAATTTACCAAAAAGTAACAAAAGCAACTCTCACCCTTCTTCCCGTCTCAAGACCACCCACTCGCCCTTCCAAAACAAAACAAACAACAAGACGCTACTGTCAAGGAAGGCATTGATAATTTTCAATAGGAAAGTACTAGACAAGACTGATTTTGAGAATTTGGCGCTCGAGGCATTTGTAGTACAAGTGGTATCTTGGTATATATTTTTACCTATTTAGGGTATGCTGAATCCGATAAAGGTGGATACCAAACTGAAAAAAATGATCTTGACCACTGAAATTATAATTAGATGATATATCAAATAAAACTTAGGATAGGAAAAGCCTGATATTTGTCACAAGGCATAGATTATTTAGATAATAAAATTCAGCATACCGGTATAAGGTTAAAACACTCAAGATACCACTTGTACTATAAATGCCTCTAGCATTCATATTTTCTTAAATCAGTCCTGTGCTTACTGCAAATTTGTTGTACACATAGATTTAAGACACCTTTTACGTCTGCAGTTATAAGTACGACAGAATGTAAATTACGCCAAATTTGTTTATACGTGTATTTAGTAATACAGGTTAAGTTTTCGACAAAATGCAAGGAATAAAACCCAAAGAATACGATATGTAGAGAGCAATGCACTTCTTATGAATGAGATATAACGAGGTTTAAAAGCCCATACCAAGGAAAATGTAAACATGTGAAACATTGTATGGAAAAAATCAAGTTTTAGTTAAATATGGTATTTTAAAGATTTGGTCAATTGGGCCGTTGCTTTAAAGCATGAAGACGATCAATTTAGAAATTAAAATAAAATGTTAAAAATTGCGATCTTAAACGTCAATAGCACAAGGAACCAAATCATGACTGTCAAAACATTTCGGATTGTTTCAAGTATGCAGTAATATCTCGAATTATTCCATGACGGCAGTAAAAGCTCGGATTGTTCCATGGTGGCAGTAAAACCTTAGATTATTTCATGACGGCAGTAAAAGCTGGGATTGTTCCATGGTGGCAGTAAAACCTTAGATTATTTTATGACGGCAGTAAAAGCTCGGATTGTTCCATGGTGGCAGTAAAACCTTAGATTATTTTATGACGGCAGTAAAAGCTCGGATTGTTCCATGGTGGTGGTAAAACCTACGATTATTTCATGACAGCAGTAAAAGCTCGGATTGTTCCATGGTGGCAGTAAAACATTAAATTATTTCATGACGGCAGTAAAAGCTCGATTAAATTCATCACGGAAATAAAAGCCCGAATGTTTCGTGACGGCAGTAGAAAGTCCTATTGTCTCATGACCGCAGTAAAAGCTGGGATTGTCACATGAAGGAAATAAAAGCTCGGATTGTTTCAAAACTACAGTGATATATAATATCATTTTCTAACGGCAGTATTATATCGGATAATTTCATGACAGCATTCTTATCAAAAATTATTTTATGAATGCAGTATTATCTCAGTTTGTTTCATAACTAAAAATAATCTCGGATTATATCATGACTGCAATATTATCTTGGATTATTTCATGACGGCAGTATTATCTGCGATTATTTTATGACGGCAATCAAATCTCGGATTGTTTCATGAGTGCATTATTATCTCGGATAATGTCATGACGACAGTAACAGCTTGGATCATTTCGTGACTGAAGTTTTATTTCGGATTGTTGTATGACGGTAGTATTATCCCTTATTGATTCCTGACGTTTGTAATATCTCGGATTATGTCATGACGACAGTAACATCTCAGATTATTTCATGACTGCAGTATAATCTCGGATCATTTCATGAGTGCAATATTATCTCTGATTGATTGTCCTTAACGGCAGTATTATCTTGGATTGTATCATGACGGCATTAATATACAGATTGTTACATGATAGCAGATATATATCAGATAATTTCATGACGGCAGTTTTATCTCAGATTATTTTATGACGTTGTATTATTTTGGACTGTTTCATGACGCAGTATTATCTCAGAATGTTTTATAGCCGCTGTTTTTTTCTCAGATTGTTTCTTTACTGCAGTTATATGTTTGATAATGCATTGACTGCAGTAATATTCCGGTTTCTAGTATGGCGGCAGTAGTATCTTTGATTTTTTCATGACTTCAGTATTATCTCGGATTGTTTCATGTCAGCAGTATGCTCTAGGACTGTTTCATGTTGGCAGTTTTATCTTGGATTGTTTCTTGACGATGGTATTATCTCTGATTGTTTCATGACGACAGCAGTATCTCGGATTATTTAATGACGGCATTTTAATCTTTTATTTTTCATGACACAGTATTATCTCGGATTGTTTCTTGACTGCAGTTATATTTCGGATTCATTAATGACTGTAGTATTTTCTGGGATTGTTTCATGACCCCTGTAATATCTCAGATTTTTCCACGGCTGCTGTAATATCCTGGTTTGTTTCAAGACTGCAGTATCATCTCGGATTATTTCATGACGACAGTCTTATCTCAGATGGGTTCTTGACTGCATTGTTATCTCGGATTGTTTTATGACTGCAGTATTATCTCAGATTGTTTCATAACAGCAGACTTATCTCTGATTGTTTCATGACTGAAGTTTACCTCGGATTGTTTCATGAATGCAGTATTATCTCGGGATAATTCTTGGCAGCTGCATCATCTCGGATAATTTCAGGACGGCAATTTAATATCTGATTGTTTCATGGTGCAGTATTATCTCAGATTGTTTCTTGACTGCAGTTATATCTCAGATTATTTCATGGCCATAGTATTCTATCAGATTTTTTTCATGGCTGCAGTAATATCCTGAATTGTTTCTTGACTGCAGAATATTCTCGGATTGTTTCATGACGACCGCAGTTTTATCTCGGATTGGTTCTTGACTGCAGTATTATCTCGGATTGCTTCATGACTGCAGTATTATCTCGGATTATTTCATGACGGCGGATATATCTTAGATATTTTAATGACTGAAGTAACATCTCATATATTTTCATCGCTGCAGTAATATCCTGGATTGTTTCATGACTGCAGTATTATCTCGGATTGTTTCATGACGGCAGTTAAATCTCGAATTCGTTCTTGACTGCAGTATTATCTCAGATTGTTTCATGACCGCAGTATTATCTCTGATTGTGTCATGACAACAGTATAATATCGGATTGTTTCATGAATGCAGTATTATCTCGGATTGTTTCATGACTGCAAACATCACGGATTGGTCCGTGACTGCAGTAATATTTCGGATTGTTTAAGGACAGCAGTATTTTCTCGTGATGCTTCGTGGCAGCTGCCTTATCTATGATAATTTCATGACGGCAGTTTAATTGACGCAGTATTATTTTTAATTGTTTCTTGACTGCAGTAATATTTCAGATTACTTCATGACTGAGGTAACATCTCAGTATTATCTCGGTATTAGTATTGTTTCTTGGTTTGTTTCTTGACTGCAGTAATATCTCAGATTATATCATGACTGCAGTAACATCTCAGTAATATGTCAGTATTATCTCTGATTGTGTCATAAGGGCAGTATAATCTCGGATTGTGTCCTGACTGCAGTAATATCTCGGATTTTTTCACGACAGAAGAAATGTCTCGGATTGTTTCATGAATGCAATAATATCCCGAATAATTTCACAACAGCAGTAATATCTTGGATTTATCACGTAGGCAGGAATATCGCGGATTATTTCATGACTGTAGATATAACCCGACTTGGTTCATTACTGCAGTAAATCCCGAATTGTTTAATAATTACAGCATTTTCTCGGATTATTTCATGACGACAGTGAAAGCTTGGATGATTTCATGACTGTTGTATTATCCTGAATTATTCCATGGCTGCAATATTATTTTTGATTGTTTCATGACGGTAGTATTTAATCTCGATTGTTTCATGGCGTCAGTAATATCTCGGATTAGTTCAAATAACGACAGTCAAATATCCCTTGGATGATTGTTCATGACGAACAGTAACATTCTCAATTATTCATGACTGCAGTATAATCTCGGATCATTTCATGAGTGCATACTTTCCCTGATTTTCCTTGACGGCAGTATTATCTTGGATTGTATCATGACGGCAGTAATATCTCTGATTGCTTCATAATAGTAGTAATATATCGGATTATTTCATGACGGCAGTAATATCTCAGATTATTTCATGACGTAGTATTATCTGGGACTGTTTCATGACACAGTATCATCTCAGATTGTTTTATATCCGCTGTTTATTCTCTGATTGTTTCTTTACTGAAGTTATATGTTGGATAATGTATTGAATGCAGTAATATCCCGGTTTGTTTCATGGCGGCAGTAGTAAATCTTTGGTTTTTTCAATGACTTCAGTAATATACCGGATTTTTTCTAATGCTTTACAGTAAATTATCTCGGATTGTTTCCATGTCGGCATTTGTAAATCTTGGATTGGGTTTCTTTAACGATGGTATTATGTCCTTGATTGGTTCATGATGAACAGCAGTATATCCCGGATTGTTTTCATGTCGGGCATTTGTTTATCTTGATTGTTTTCTTTACGATGGTATTAATGTCTATTGGTTCATGAACGGGCAGTTTAATCTCTGATTTTTTCATGACACTGTATAATCTCGGAACGTTTCTTGACTGCAGTTATATTTCGGATTCATTAATAACTGCAGTATTTTCACGGATTGTTTCATGACTGCAGTAATATCTCAGATTATTTCATGACTACAGTAACATTTTAGATGTTTTATGGCTGCGGTAACATCCTGGATTGTCTCATGACTGCAGTATTACCTCAGATTGCTTCATGAATGCAGTATTATCTCAGATTGTTTCATGACTGCAGTATTATTTCGGATTGTTTCATGACTGCAGTTTTATCTCAGATTATTTCATGAAGGCAGCATCATTTCGGGTTTTTTTCCTGACTGCATTAATATCTCAGATTATTTCATGACAGGAGTAATGTCTCGGATTGTTTCATGAATGC